TTTCTTAATGGAAGAATTAAACCGTTTTTTTTTTAAAAAACATTAAAATCTTACGTTATCTTGAGGGACCAGTCCTAATATGAGGTTTTTTTTTTTTGAGGGCCTCTAAGTTTTTTTTTTTCTTTTTTTCTTTTTGGTGTTACGAGTTATAAATTTAAAAAAAACACATTTTGTTACTTGAAATAATGTTACACTCTTTTTATCATTATGCCTAAAAAAAAATCTTAAAAAATAGAAAATTTATCCTTAAGAGTATATGAGCCTGGACCTTTATCCCTTATTCTTGATAAATATCTTTTTATTAGTGTAATTATTTAATTAAAAATGTTATGAATCAAGAATAAAAGGTAAAAATCATAACTCATTACACTTGTTAGGGGTTTTTGTCAAAATTACCCCTAAATCTTATATGTAAAATGGGTCCTCTATAGAACTCAAATCTAGTACTACTTAATTTTCAAAATGAAAAAAAAAAAAAAAAAAAAAAAAAAAAAAAAATAGGAAGATAGTGAATCTTTTTTAATTTTTTTTAATTCGTGGATTTATACATAATATCAAAATCTTAATATTCTCTTGGCACTTTTATTTTCTTCTTTAATGTTTAATAAAAACCACACTACTAACGAAGCTCTATATGAATACAAATTACACATTACACATTACAATTAGTTACCAAATCTAAATTACTAATATAAAAAAATATATAAATAAAGTGGAAAAAAACTAATAAAGGTAACGATATAGTTAGAATGATTTTTTTATCTTTCTTTATTTTCTAAGAAGATGAAAATAATAATAATAATAAGAGAACAATTGGCGTAATGTCTACAATTTCGAACTAGGAGAAAAGAGAATCGTCAAAAGCAATATTAATATGTCTACAAATTACAATTACGGGTGGGTTGAGTCACCAAATTTTAATATCAAGAGATTTCAATGCATATGGAAACAAAATATATGTAAACAAATATGAAAATATATGAAGGGTAGTTCTACCCACGCACTTCTTTTTATTCTACATTCTCCTTCTAAACATAAACTCCCCACATAATTTTAAAATGGTTGAATTTACTTTTAACACGCCCTATTATTCTAAAATTATCCCAAAATTTTCATAGAATTATTAATTCTTGATCATTTTTCTTTTCAAACCTACTATTTTATTTTATTTTTTTTTAATATTATCATGTCTATATTTTCTATTTTTTTAGTCGAAGCTTTAGTCATGATGCTTTTTTATTTTAATATGATCATAAAGGACGCTCAAAAAATATAAAATAGAAAATAATATAATTCAAGAAATAAAAAATAAATAAATAATATGACAACAAAATTATTATATTATTTAAGTATGATTAAAAATATAAAATGAAAAAAGAATAAACAACAAATAAACAAGCATAAAAAAGAACAAAATAGAAAAAAAAAATCAATCCTACTTTATAACAAATGAAAAAGAAAATAAAACAAAATGATTTGTACTTTCAAAAATGAAATAATTAGAAAAATAAAAAATATTAACACAAAACGAAGAAAAGAAAAGTCAAAAAAAAAAAAAACAATCACCATAGAATAAATAGCAAAGAAAATTTAATATACTTGTATGTAATTTTTTGGAATAGCTATTGAATAGGAAAAATTAAAGTTTTATCATAAATTTTAAAATAGTAATTGTTTGTAATTTGTTAACATGACATGTGGAGTGTATGAAGGGAAAAAAATAAAAAAAATAATATTATTATAATAAAATTTAATTATGTAATTAAGTCTATTATAATTGTCATTTTTTATCAGTTCATATGAGTCTTTTCTAATAAAAAAATATAATTAAATGGGAGGTGTAGAGAGTAAAAAGGGATGTGTGAATAGAACTATCTTATATGAAAATATATAAAGAGATTTCCTAATATAAAAATATATGTAAACAAATTCAAAACAATTATTAAAGGTAAATGCATATGAAATGTTAACTTTTCCTAATATAAAAATATATGTAAACAAATTCAAAACAATTATTAAAGGTAAATGCATATGAAATGTTAACTTTCTTAATATGGCCTAATATAATAGAAGGATCCGGTATGAGCCTAAAGATTTGAATCGCCCAAATATGGTGTGTTAACAGTATGTATCCTTTTTTATGTTAATTTTAACTTGGAAAAAAAACGTTTAAAAGCTTGGCACTCGGATCTCCAATTTAAAAATCTTGAAAACTTAGGTCATTAATTTAAAATCTTTGATAACTTGATCCCCAAACTAATATATTTTTTGCGCTTGCTAGTCCTTCCATTTCTCAAGCCACTAAACCACTCCCCATGGACAAAATTTGGAGATGACTGAGCCGTTTTTTTGGTGAATAAACATCTGTCAAAAAAGCTTAGGCACTTTTTCACCAAAAAAAAAAAAAACAAAAGAAAAAAAAAAGAAATTGAAAAAGATACTAATATCATTTGAGTGCATCAAACAGGAAAAAATGCAAAATCATAAACGTATATAAACAATTTAAGGAAGCATTGTAGACGCATTCTTCAACCCAAAAAAAAAAAAAAGACACTTTAAGGAAGCATCGTAGGACCCCTGTTTCTGTTTTAGAATAAACATTGTGGATGCCTGGCTTTTGCCCTTGTTTTCAGTTTCATCAACATCATCGTGTCTTCTCTTTTGTTAATTGGGATGTTCAAAAGACCACCGCACCAAATCAAATCTTGCATCACCATACTCACATATTACCATTCCGGGCACGTTTAGAATTTGTTCTAAAATAATTTTATTTTTTTTATAAAAATGAAAATTAAAACGTTTTTAATCTCAGATAGAAATTATCTTTAAAAATGCGTTTGGTAGTTTTATCAAAAAATTATTTTCAATATAAAAATAACATATTAATATATATATATATATATATCTCTACTCGAGAGAAGAGAAAACAAAAACAAAAAATGAAAAACGACTAAAAGTCATTTTTCATTTCTCTTTCATTTTACACTAAACTAAAAAATCGTTTTCATTTTCTTTTTTGTATTTATTGAGTCAAACGCCGTTTTAAAAACGTGTTCATTTTTATTTCTTGAAAAATGTGAAAAATAAAAACGGGATCAATTCCAAACACAGTCTTCAATTTCTCTATTTGTGCTTATCAATTTTTGTTTTTTTTTTGTTTTGTTTTTTTTTTTTTTAGCTCTGTATGCATCTCATACCGATGTGGTGTGTGTTTATAGTCAAAATTACGTCAAATAAAAGAGTACATAAGATGCAAATCTTATGGTTCAAAACAGAACTTTACTTTCATAACCTACCATAAAATTCTCCTTTTAAAAAAAACTCAGTCAGTCATTTTTATTTTCAAGAGCTCGTCCAAGATCATAATCCCTATTACTTATATTAGGAGGACAATATGCCGTAACAAAAATCATTAGAATTATTTTAGAAGATACGCACGATAACAACAAAATCACAATTTTCTCGCATTATAAAATCTAATCCTCAGAATTTCAAAACATGATTTGAAGAGATGATTATTTTACAATGAACAAGTGATTAATATTGCTCATAAAACTGTCTCTGTAAAGATTAGTAGTGATAATACTCAGCATAATACGAGCACTGTTGATGGCGAGCTAGTCACATGAAATGAATAAAATTGTATCAGCATGATGATCCAGGAAAGAACAAATGTTGATTCACCTGATGAGGAAAAACAATAGACCTCTGACAGTGCAGTGCAGCAATAGTTGCAATGGATCTAAAGAGACGGTACTGGTTTTTCGTCCGCTCCGTTGGAGTTGCACCGGCGGCCGGTGCTTCGGAGCATCAATATTCCATCGCAGTTTCAAGGATTTCTTATGGAAGGCCTTTCAATAATATTCTTCCTAGTTCCTACTGTAGCGTAAGCTATGATCAAAACGAGTCGTTAATTTATACTCTGATCTGATGTCCTATTTGTGATGTTGCTCAAGAATCAACTGTCTATGCTATATGGTTTTTCTTTATTCGGTTAGAGAAATCTATAGAAATTATCTTCAGAGTCGCTGTCTCTGTGCATATGTCAATCTTGCTCTCTGATGGTTGTTTTCCTTGATTAAAAATCTTTAAATAATAGGATTATTCTCATTGGTGTCCCTAAATTTTAAAGTCATTTTTAATTTATCCTCCTAAACTATAAAAACTCCTATTTTGCCTCTTAAACTTTAAATTGTTCTCACTTAACTCCTTTTGTTGTAATTTCTATTAAAATCAGACGAAAAATGATGAAGTTAAGTGTGATCATATGATTTTTATTTATTTATTTTTAACAAAAATCTAAACAAAAAAATCACATGACTGCGTTTTTTTAAATATGATTTTAATAGAAATTGCAACAAAAAGGGTTCAATGAAAATAATTTAAAATTCAAGAGATAAAGTGAGAGTTTTTAAAGTTTAGAGACAAATTGAGAATAACCCTAAAGTTCAGAGTTCATTAGTGATAATAATCCTAAAAATTTGGCTGGATTCTCTAAGAGACATCACTTGACTTTCTCATGCAACAGATCACTAAGAATTGGAAAAGGAATTTGTATGCCGATTAAATTTTCTTGTTACTTGCAAATATTATATTTCAACATAATCAAATTGGCCGAGGCAATACAAATTTGGGAGAAAGAGGAAAATATGTCAAGACTTGAGATGAATTAAAATTATTAGACCAATAGTTTACATAAGTTAATAAATAGGCCAAATTACTGTTTTTGTCCATAACTTGTCTGGTTATGAACCATAACTTAACAAGTTATTGTCCATAACTTATTTAGTTATGAACCATAACTTGATAAGTTTGTCCATAACTTATCTAGTTATGAACCATAACTTGATAAGTTTGTCCATAACTTGATAAGTTTGTCCATAACTTATCTAGTTATGAACCATAACTTGATAAATTATGACCTATTAATTTCTATAACTAAAAATTAGCCTATATACTTTCTTAAGTTTATCATATTGGCATATTTCCTACCATTTCCGTACAAATTTCTTCCCTGTGTCAATGCAACCTCGTCTGACAAAAAGACCTAAGCTAGTAAAGATTCCTACAACATCTCTTCAAAAGGACCATCAGTATTCGAAATGAGAGCAAAAGAGCCATGTTATGGACAAACTAGTACTAAACACTAAAATTATATGGCGCTCCAAAGTCATCCAAATTCTGACTTAACAAAAGAAATTTCTACCACACTTGCCTTCTAACCATGTCAACCGTATCCTTTCGCCTTTTAAAGAGATGAAGGTCTCTCTCAAGTTAGGGTCCTCAAAGAGGTCCAATGCAGCAAAATAGGTATGTTGATCAATTCCTTGTATCTCATCCAACGCTTTGATACAATTAGTAATGGTGAATCTGTCATCACTACGTGCTTTTGCAACTGTCCTGAGCTTTGACGCGGCAATCATTTCAAACATTGCTTCCGACATAGCATCACACATTTCTTGATCCATCCTACTTCGAGCAGTTGAAGACTCCGTCTCGGAAGGACGTTTCCTTTGTCTCTCAGGTATCTTAACCACCTTTTCTGTTGGTGATACGTTTACTTGTGCAGGTTTTGGTGGCAGTAGATTTTCACAATGAGGGGCTCCAATGTCAGGACACGAACTTAAACCCCCGTTTTCAGTTGTAGCAGACTTGTGCAACTCTCCATAGTGACTAGATTGCGCGTACTTGCCATCCGCAGATGAATCTGTGAATATTGTGCACAGCTGCTCATATATCGGGCAGTCCTTGACTTTGACACTTTCAGGCCTGGTTTGTGCCTATAAGAACAATTTGTAAGGCAAGGCACTTGAAAAAAATTTGTTGCAGAAAGAAGAAATTGAAAAAAACAGAAACAGAGCAACAGGGTAACCGTACAAGGTACAACACGTACCCCTAAATCTTCCCACAGATCAAAACCAATACAGCAGGAGGCGTCTAAAGTGAAGTCATTACTTTGATCATAACTCGATTTCAAATTGTAGAAGCGAGTCCTCAGAACATCCAAGTGCTTCCTCAGTTGATTATTGTTGAAGTTGAGGTCCGTTTGCTTGTTAAATTCATTGCGAATGTGATTCCATGTCTTTTTGTCAAAAACATTGTTGGGTCTGTTCCCTAATTGAATTTGCTTCACAACCAAGTCCGCAAATATCTTATCAAGGGATGCTGTCCACCTTGTCCTAGAGCGCTCATGCTTAGGTTGATTGCCTGCTTCACTCTCCATTTCTAACTACAAGGATGCATATGAAACAATAATATTCAAAAGAATCAAACACTTGTCAAGTAATGATGGAAATTATCATATCTAAATAAATAAATAAGAGACAAGCAGAAAGGCGGTATTGGTGGCCACAAGTGACATTCAGAACTTTGAGGGAAAAAAGAAAGAAGAAGACAGAACGTGCATTCCATTATTGGACACAGAAAACCTACAGATCTCAGTTCCAGAAGTCTCTCTATTAAACACTACGATGTGCGTTTCGTATAAGTTAAACATAAAATAAGTTGAAAACTCTCTTTCACTGTGTTCACACAACGCATCATCACTCATCGTCACATCCCAAGAGTCCTTCCAATTAAACCCTTTCACTCATCAAAAAGAAACTAAAGAAAATGAAAAAAAAAATAAAAAATCCAAACTTGTGAGCCCCTTTGTCATTGACTGCGGTTTGTTCCAAAAACAAGCGGAAGAACATGTATTGTCGTGTCATACCAATGAAAAATCCATACTATCAACCGTACCAATGTCACTAAAATATAGATCTAACCTGTGCAAACAGTAGAAATTCCCACACGAAGTTATACCATCACCAAAATGATGAAATCAGTACAAAAGTCTCCATGCACAGATCTCACCACAGCTATTACCAGTAATCTCCACATGAACATTGACCGCCCTCAAAATGATGAAATCTGTGTGAATCTCGCAATACTATTTTGCGACCAACAATTTTAGATATATATTTGAAGGCAGAGTGGCAATCACCACAAACGCGGAGATTTTTCATAATCCTAATAGGCAACTCTGATTTCCGAGTGAGAACAAAAGCAACTGCAAGCTTCTCACTATGATAACTCAGGATTTCTTCCTTATTTTCCGCCTCAAGATCATACAGTGCAAATTTTATTTCAGGGACATAGCCAGCATCCTTCATTTTCCTGTTAAGTTCCTTCAATTTCTTGTATATCAATTCTTTCTCCGGGTGTGATTTGTCTCCAGCTACAAAAACATGAACCCCATCCTTCATTGTAACCCAACTACACCCAGCTTCCTTCTTCACTTCTGCCTTCCTCATGGCCACTCTAGCCTTTGCTACATCCTCCCACTTTTCCCCAGATGCATGCATGTTAGCAAGAAGAACATAATTCACTGCATTTTGGGGCTCCAACTCCAAAAGCATAGCAGCAGCCCTTTGTCCTAACTCTGTATAACGACCATTAGCTCGCGAGCAGGCTGCTAATATTGTCCTCCATATAAGGATGTTAGGCTTGAAAGGCATTTTATTTATAAAGTCCTCTATCTTATTAAGTTGACCTGCACGCCCAAGAAGATCAACCATACATGAGTAATGCTCCATCCGAGGAGCCAATCCATATGCTTCACCCATCGATTTAAAATGTTTGTAACCTTCATCCACCAAACCTACATGACTACAAGCTGATAATACTCCCACAAACGTGACATGATCTGGTAATTGACCATGTTGCTTCATTTGTGTAAAAAGCTTCAGAGCTTCATCTCCATGTCCATGGCGAGCATACCCTGATATCATGGAATTCCAAGAATACACATTTCTCACTGGCATCAATTCAAAAAATCTTGAAGCATAATCTATTCGTCCACACTTCGCGTACATGTCAACAAGTGCACTTCCAACTACGACATCAGATTCTAAACAAGCTCTGATACCACTAGCATGAACTTCCATGCCACGCTCTAATGTTGCAACCGAGGCACAAGCACTGAGGACAGTAGCAAAAGTAAAAGAGTCCAACCTTTGACCCCTCTGCATCATAAACCAAACCATATCTATGGCCTTAGGCAAGTCTTCATTGTGTATATAACCAGAAATCATGGAATTCCAACTTATTTCATCCCGCCTTTCTGACATTCTAGAGAAAATCTTGTCACAGTTATCCATCTGTCCACACTTTCCATAGCAAGCCAAAAGTGCATTCTCAATAGCACGATCAATTAAAACAGGGTGTTTTAAGGCTACAGCATGAATTTGTTGAACAAGCTTGCTAAGTGAAAGAGAAGAAACTGCTCCAAGAATGCTCATATAAGTTACTCTATTTGGCGACCATCCAGCTCGCATCATGTTAATGAAATATTCTACGGCATCTAAAATTGAGGCTTCAGAATCGGCTAAAGCGCCAATTATAGTGTTCCATGATACTTGGTCATACTTTGGCATTAAGAAGAAAACTTGCTGGCATTCATTAAGACACCCTGTCTCAGCGTACAACAAAAGAAGGGCATTTGAAACTGAAACATCCAGATCAAGTCCTAATTTAACTCCTTCACCATGTATTTGTTTTCCGAGCAAGATCCATCCCAAACTTGCGCACGAACTCAGAGCACTAATTAATGTAAAATTTGAAGGACTCAATCCAAATCTTCTCATTGCACAAAAACTAATTGCTGCATCTTCAAAACAGTCATTCTGATCAAGACCAGATATCATGGTGTTCCATGAGACTAAATCTTTGTCAGTCATTTGTCTGAAAACTGAGCAAACATCAGTAATAGCACCGCATTTAGCATACATATTAACAAGCCCATTTCCAATAGCAACCTTGATGTCTACAAGACCATTCCGGATTACATATGCATGAACCTCTTGACCCTTTCTCTTTCCTTCCTTCAAATCAGAAAATTCAGAAAACGAACTTAAGAGAACCACATATGAATCAAGATTTGCTCCAACCAAGTTCTTCAAGTATGTAAAAATTTCAGTTGCTTCTTCTCCCCGCTTTTGTCTCACTAAACCAACCATTAATCCATTCATAGAGACAGAATTTATCTCGCTCATCTGCTCAGAAATCTTTAAAGCATAATTAAGTAATCCAAACTTTGAAAATCCGCTGACCAAAGCACTACCAACATATAAATCATTTAAGAATCCGGATTTCTTCACTCTGGCCAGCATTTGCTCTAATAGGATCGAACTATGATTGCCCGAATAGCAAGCAGCAGTTATTAAGCTGCCAAAAGTAAACTCATTGGGCTTCAAAGTAAACCCACAACCTTGCCTTTGCATACTAGAGAAAAGTTCAAAAGCAGAAACTGAATCTCCTCTATGGGAATAAACAGAAATGATAGAATTCCATGAAACTAAATTCTTTATCTGTATCTCATCAAAAACATGGTGTGCATCATCCATAGAACCCAAACAATTTCCATACATTGAAATCAACACATTGCCAACAACCACGTCTGAACCATACCATGTTTTGGAGATTAACCCATGAATTTGCATACCTAGTTTAAGTCTTGATGGTCCAGACTCCTGACAAGCTCGAAGAGCACTACCAAAAGCATAATGACTGGGACAAAATCCAGCAGAAATCATCCTTTTGAAATGTAAACATGCCTCATTTAGCAAGCCATTCTTGGTATATCCTGAAATCAAACTAGCCCATGTAACTAAGTTCCTTTCAGGCATTTCATCAAACAGCTTACTCGCAGAAGCCAAGTTCCCAATCCTAACATAGACATTGATAAGGGTATTGTATAAATACACATCGCTAGTAAACCCGTTCTTAAGAATTTGCAAATGGAACTTCTTAGCGTCGTCCAAGCTACACGAATTTTGGTATTGACTGACAAGAAATTCATATACTTCAGAGGAGGGTGGAACTTGGAGTTGAGGTTGAGATAATTTGTACTTGTCAACAGAATTTTGCAAAGAGATTAAATGAAGGGATGGCCTACTATGATCAGCAGGGTTTTGAGATTTTAAGAAAAGGGAATTATATGGAGGGACAACAGGTGAGGCGATGAATGAACTCAAAGCTAGGTTGGGACTATGTGGGGCAGCTTGCTTATGAGCGGTGGTGAAAAACCTGCGGTACATTCTTTTGTATGTTTCCTGGTTGAATCTGCTTTGCAAACGAGTCTGCAAAAGTATATTGAAATATGTTGACCTTGTCCTCGAATAATTGTACATGGGCGGACGACTCTATCTAAAGTATTGAAGGTGCACATAAAATCAATAGCATTCCAATTCGATGCAATAAAAATCATGTGACACGTTCCATATACAGCATGCATATGAACAACTAAAAGTTCAACCAAAAACACACACACAAAAAAAGGCGCAAGCTTCGAAAATAAATTCATTGTAGTAGTTACTCCAAAGAATAAATAAGAAATTCTTCCTATCCGCTTGCTTCTGCAGTCTTTACTATGAGAGTCGAACTAGATCAGAAGATAGTCCAATATCTTTTTTTTTTTTTTTTTTTTTTTTTGAGGAAACTGCAAGATCTCATATCATCATGTCATTAAAACGAAAGATTAGACCCAAATTCTTCCCAGTCCCATATCACTTTCGGAGTTCCAAACAGAGCCTACAAGTTTCGCCTTTTGAATTCTTACGATCAAATATAGAAGCCCAAATTGACTCCTCGTAAAATGAGATAAACCCAAAACAAAAAATTCAAAACCCCATCATCACATGCATTAAGTTTTGGAATGTCACAGAAATGAGAAAACCAAATTGCAATTACATATAACCCTGTCGCATATTCTAGGGCAAATACTCCAATGAGACAGAGAGTGAAAATCCATTTATCATGCATCGAAGCATAAATTATGTAACAAAAAAAATATTGTCAAAATAGTTCCGAAAATCCATAGAGTTTCTCATGTAATTTACATGTAAATTCTAACCTCGATTGAGAATTGCAGAAAAAGATCAAAGTCCAAAACAGAGATTGTAGACAATAGATGGAACGAGGTGAGGGTTAGGGTGGGGTACATAGTTTTTTTTTCCCCTTCTTTAAAATAGTGTACAAATTAGAGTTCTTTTTTTTTAAAGTCCTTGAATTTTAGATTCACTTTCTATTTGCCCTCCAAATTTTAAGAACTTCTACTTCACCTCAGAAATTTATAAGGTGACATAGTTTTTTTTTTTTTTTTTTCCTTTTTTAAAATAGTGTAAAAATTAGAGTTCTTTTTTTTTTCAAGTCCCTGAATTTTAGATTAATTTTTAATTTACCATCTAAATTTTAAAAACTTCTACTCCACCTCAGAAATTTAAATTAATCTCATTTAGGCTCATATGTTAAAATTTCTGTTAAAAACATATTAAAAAAAAAAAAAGAAGAAAGAAAGATTGATGTGATGACATGGTCTTTTTATTATAATTATATTAAAAACAAATCGAAAAAGATCATGTAGCCACACTTAACTCTTTTTATTTTTGTTTGATTTTAACGTAAATTATATAATAAAAAAAAAAGAACAAGTAGGACTCAATCAAAATTTAAGAGATAAAATGGAAATTTTTAAAATTTAGAAATACATGAAAGTAATTTCAAAGTTCAAGAGACGCCAATAAAATTATTACGTTAAAATGAAAAGAGTCAAGACAGATGGTATATGGAATGAGGATGGTGTCGCGCTTTAGTGGAAAAGGTTGACGCAGCGCTTTCCACTCATTCCCAACTGTGTCAACGTGGAATTACTATGTGTTGTTTGCAACGAAGCGGTGGAAGATATTTCACATGCCCTGTGGTAATGTCCTCGTGCTCAAGAAGTAATTTGCTCTCTTAGTGCTCTTTGGCATATTCTAAAGTCCTTCCCAGATGGACTGCTATTTCCTTATGGGACATTATGCATGGTAAGCAAGGTACAAGGGTTGATATAGATATATTTTGTACCATTTTGTGGAGCATTTGGATTGACCGTAACAAAGCTTGTTTTTTAGGGACATTTGAGTAATGTTAATGACTTAATTCTACTTTGGAACGGGCTGGATGGATTTTGGCTGATTATCAGTCCTATGTTAATTGTACTTTTAAGTAGAGGAATGTTTGGCGGTTAGGAAAGTTGCTTAGTTTGTCACTAATGAACGATTCCAAGATTGGGTTGTCGAGTCAGATGCTATAAACATCATTACTGCAGCTGCTATTCGGTCTCTGGCTTCGAGAGCCCTTCGAGTTTTAGCGGACATTTAATTTATAGACTCAGAATTATGATTTAGAATCATTCTTATTTTATGTGTATTTTTTATAAGAGAAAAATACTGTAAAAAATCATTAATCATGATTCAAAATCATAAACGAATATAGGAAACAAACATCTCCTTAATAATTGATGATGTGCGAGAAGCTATTCCTTCTCTGAAAAGTGGCTCAGTTTGCTACATTTCCACAAGGTAATTTGCTATCCCACTACTGTCTAGTTAATTATGCTTCTTGTTCTTCTAAATACTGACACAACAATTGAGTAATAAAGTTCCATTTTTCTATTAAAAAAAAAAGCATAGACCAATCTGTAGTTTAACTATATACTCAATGATTTTTACTGGGAGTCGATTCACATGTACACATTAGGAAATAATTCAGAATTATATGTGATGTAATTAGCTTGCCTCCATGATAATTATCAGATTGAGTTAATTATCAGATTAATGGTTAGCTAGTGAAATTATAAAAATAAAATAAAATAAATAAAAAAACTTGGCCTATAATTTTATCATATTATCGTGTATGTTGACAGTGACAATTGTGTAATAGTTTGGGACTAGTCCATTAGCGTTTTATTTTATGTTATTTTTTTGTTAATGTATTTGGTTTCTGCTTCTTATACCCAATAGTTTGGGGCTAATTGCAACAGGCATTCGATGAATTTCACTTGGAAAAGAAGTTTATTAGAGTAGCGTACGTTAAAGATATAAATGTTGAGATTGTAGAATAGCTTCTAACAAGGTAGAAAAAGTTATAACTAGAAGCATAAATGCAGTAAGTAACTTGCGGCGGTAACCTGTTATTCACGAGTAAAAGCTTAAGGCCCGTTTATTTTATCGATTCGAGTTTTGTAACAGTAAAAAAAACTCTAAAAAATAATTATATCTAACTTTTTTCTTATAATAAAAAACTCTCGCATAAAATTACATCTCAACTCAAATTAAAAATTCAAATCAGCGAACTAAAAAAGCCTTCAAACATGTTAATAAAAAGCATCTAAAAAAAGCTCTTCCACAATCACGTCTTCATCCAAAAGAGCTTACAAAAACCAACTGCGCAATCCGTGTACCTACCCACACCTGTCCAAAAGCCGTTTCCGAATCAAAATAAGCCAAAAGTTGCTTCATTTAAATGAATTCCAAACGGGGCCTTAGTTCCTCTAAAAGTGTTGTTTTTTAAAATTAGAAGCAAAACTTGAGGCTTTCATCATTGCAACTATATGTTACATTATATCTATCCTATAAAATCGTTAAGGGTGATCATAATTAAAGATAAATAAGGCTAATTACCACTAATGTATAACTACTATTTCGGATGGTTGTCCTTTAAGTTATCTAGCCCATCCATAATTTCAACACTCCATCAGCTCCACCAGAAGCTGCCTTCTCACCATCTGGACTCCAATCAGTAGCAAAAACCTTTTCACAATAAAATATCGGAATTCAGAATCGGACGGTATATGATGATCCTATAACTTTTGATTGAGGTGAAGAAATGCTTACACAATCTGAATGCCCAGGAAGGTCTTCTTTCAACTTCTGTGACCTGACATCCCATACCTAGATCATAAAAAACACGCAATAACCAAGCTAACGAAAGTGAAAATTCCAGGGGGGGAAAAAAAACAAAATAACAATTTCCACAACTTGAAAGCATGCAAAAGAATTCATATTCGGCGAAGCAGTCTAAGAAGACCGTTGCATTTAAGATGAGAAAGAGATTCAGATATCAAACAAATGAGAGACTAAAGGGATTATCAAGGGAAGGGAGGCTCTGCAAGTGAGGCTAGATTAAGATGCCAAAGATAAAGTAAAGAGAGAAATGAGGACAAGCACAATAAGAGGTCGTGGGTGAGCGAGATGAGGATAGAAGAAAGTGGAAAAACGGCAAGAGCGGAAGAGGCTATCAGTAAATAGGAGAGTGAATGCTTGTAGATAAGGTTATTAAGCATGGATGAACCAAGCATGTACATCAGTATCGGTTACAAAGGGACTGGATTGGCATCTAATTAATTTCAAAAGCAAACTTCATAACGGAAGATATCTAATACTTTTACAAAGTTACCTTTAGTGTAGAGTCTGCACTGCCACTTAAAAGAAGCCGACTATCAGCTGACCAGCTGTGAGGCCACACGAAAGTTAAGGGACAGCCATAGGAAGTGTGTGAAGGTGAAAAAAAAATAATAATAACGAAAAAAAATTAAAGAGTTAATCAAAACCTGATCTGGTAGACATCCCGAACATGGCCCCTGAAAGTAGCAATAAATTTTCCTGTAGTACCATTCCATAACTTTACAGATTTATCGCATGAGGCACTAGCTATCCATCGCCCATCAGGTGAAAAGCAAGCTTGCATTACAAGCTGTCATCAAGAAACAAGATCAAGCAAACATGAATCAAAAAAGTAGTTGAAAACCCCAGGAAAGAATATAGTTCCAGTATTTGAATCTGAAAGAAGTGATTTACAATTATAGGAAGTTCGAGAATCCTGTTCTCTTCCTCTCAGCTTAGCTGAATTTTACCCGCCAACTACCTATCTAACTGATTTTCCCCCTATTTATACTTTCTAATTGCCTCTAACTACTCGTGCACATTTAACAGCACAACAAATCGGTCAAATCTCTCTATTAACCTCCTAACTCCTCCTATCCGACTTTCAACACAGCTACTAACTATCTACGGTACTGAAGCCTATCATTTATTGCTAAACAGACATGAAATATAAGACGCATATGATCAAGATGACACTAAAACAGAGAGTTGACACTGCTAATCTCATATCTGCAGGGAAGGAAATCCAGGAATCATCTTCTCCTAACAGACATGATATTGTCTACCAAGAAAAACAGAGATGTACTTTCCTCCACAATATAAAATTTCAGCACACATACAGAGAGTTACAATTTAATGAGTTAAAGTTGGGACTTTGGAGCACGCGTCATATATTACGCAGCATGTGGATTCTGTAAGGCTGTATTAACAGGATAAAAGGCCAATAAAATACAATATGAGAAGATGATAAGAACAAAGACATATTGCTGAGACCCCTTCACAGATTTTAAATTATGTTGGTGAACTTTCTATAAATAATAATAATAAGAAGAAGAAGAAATATTGATGCTGGTGAACTTTGGAAAAAGGGCAAAGGCCAACAATATGTAATATATCTCAAATCAGGCAATAACTATTGCATTGCCTTAAAAGTCAATAAATGTGGAATCGCAGCAGCAACGGATACACGATTCAACGTTTACACTGGCTGAAGTGCCGAGCTATGTAATGACTATGATATGAATGGCATACCTATCTAATCTAATATTCATTTTCCGCATTGGCGCATTGATATCGATAATATCGAAACACAATTTATGCAGTTTACTAGTAAGATTTACCATTTCAGCCATCTCCACTATCATTACATGGTTATTAAAAGAATTTAGGAAAATTCAGGTAAAAGTATATTGTGATTCTTATTTGTTAACCAACTGAAGAAATACGTTCATACTACAGGTTGAGAGAAATATGGGAATTTGAGCCTGGCCATGAAAAGAATATTGCGGAGCTAAAATGTTTATCGGTATGAAAATTTAAATATCTTCAATAGATCCTCTTAAAATCAACAATTTCACCCCAGGACTTAACCCAGCAAAAATAATCTAGACAAAATAGCAAGGAGAAAATGAAAGTAATAATGAACTGTAAACAAAACAATAAAGGCATAAATTACTATCATATTAGTGACAAGGGAGCTTTTACCTGTTGATGACCAGTCATGCGGGTTTTTGGTAGCTTGCCAACAGAAGGTTCCCAAAGGAACATTGTCCAATCATCGGATCCAGAAACTAATAATTCAGGACCGCTGCCTTTCATCTTGTTGTACCTCTCCAAAGCAACCTATGCAAAAGGTTAATTCTCCGAGAAAAAGAGTTCAAGAAACAAGGAAGCTAAGGTGGAAGCGTATAATACTATTCCAACTAGCACAGGAGGGAAGAGAGATGAAACAGAGAGGCATAAATTTTTAGCGGGACACAGATACACTAGTTTGTGACAGAAAGGGAAAGAAAATAAGGGATGATATCCATATAGAAAACTAATGCTTCTGAACAACATTTCAACTTCAATACTATTCTTACCACTTAATTCTGCATACCAATTTTAACTAGAAACACCTAAAAGTATGGAATCCCTAAAAAGACATACAGAGACGACATTATTTATTTTTGGCTGATAACCAAAAAATCCGTAACGCACATAACTGTGCTCAGACATGGATCTGGCTCCTTTCCCGGAAGAAAGAGATTACTGGACTTTAAGCAGCAACATGGTTGCTTAAAGTATTAAGCAAAAGAGCCTCAAGGTAAACCATAACAGGCCGAGCTCTGGAGATTGAGGCCACAAGTGTTCATGGTAACTCATCCTACTACACTGAATCCCAGATTGTACAAAAAGTCCACATTCTCTTTTTTTTTTAAAATAAGAAAAGCCTTTCATTGATAATCGTCAGTATAACCATCAATTACAAGGGAAGAGGATGAGGAATCCTTGGAGCAAAATCAAAAATAAATCTAACCAACCTCTTCACAAATGGTTCAGAAACTCCTAAGCTAGTCCCCATATGTTAGATCACAGGGGGCTTACAAAGACAAAAACATATGACGTTGTGATATTTTTTTCACTCCGGGAATCTATCAGAACACTAAACTCTAATTTGTTGAAAAATAATGTAATGGCCATTTGATAAATAAAAGTCAACAGCGCACGAGACTATTCATTTGACAATAAAAACATGGGATTCTAAATACTAAACGGACAAAGGAACTCATGTGCCCGTAACAACGATTCCCTAAATTGTTTACTATTTAATTTATAAAGATAAAGAAAAAAGAAAATAAGGAAAAAGAGGGGCAAGAGAGCAAACTATATAAAACTAACAATCAAGCAAGCTAAAGACCATGAATAACAAGATGCCACTTAGAGAAAGAAACTCATGATTATTTGCTAATAGAATAAATTACACGGACAAATTCTAACTATTAATTCAAATAGAAAAGAAAGTACCTTCTTCATTTCCTCTGCTGATGAATATTGCTTACTGGTGTGATCAAAAGCTCCAGTACGAAGGACATAATCAGTGCTCAATGAAAGAGAGTTAATCCGGTTCCCATGGCCCTTGAAGAATGAACAATGTTAGTACCATGTAAAAGCAATTAATAGACAGAACTTAAATATCCAGATAATTGAACTTAAAGATGATGATTTACAGTTGACAATTATGTGCTAGTTATAGTATCATTTAAGAGAATTGAAACATCTTCATATTGGTGCCTAATGAAAGATAATTTGAAGCTTTTGACAGCCAGAATATCATGGAAAGAATTAACAGATGACAAAAGCAAACATAATAAAAAATAAACTTCAAAGTATTAATCCACCTAATAGACATTTGAATTTTAAACAAAAATAAACTTCAAAGTATTGATCCACCTAATAGACATTTGAATTTTCAACAAGAAGTGAAAAAGAGACAAAGTTCACAGTAAATATACCAAATATAAATGGTGCACTTCAGCAAACCATTTACTATCAACTCTACAAAACCTAAGCAGTGGAGATAACAAACATAATCGAAATAATTAAATTTTTGACTTTCCAAGATAACTTATGTTCATTTGACAAATTGATGCAAGTTGAGTTAGACGTTTCCATATACTAAAATGTCTATGTAAACTATAAAAGCCATTAGAAAGTTGAACCGGAGAAAACCAGAGCTCCAAATATGTATGTACTTAAAACCAGAGCTCCAAAGATGCATGTACTTACCTTTAATTCACGAATTAGCTTCCCTTGTGAAGTTTCCCAAACTTTTATAGTTCCATCCTTGGAGCTGCAACATTCAGGAAAGCCCATTAGTTACGGGCATACGAGCATAGTGTCTAGTAATAAATCTTACAACTAAGCTGGATTGTTGGCATATTTGACCGCTATGAATATAAGATACTATTAAAATTTACTCTTGAGGATGTAGAGTGAAACAACAAAATTCAGTTAGTTTTGGAGTAGGCTCATCAAGTCCTTTTCCACCCATAAACTCTAGGATAGAAAGGTAATCGATCAATTAAATTAATATTTACTCGCTCATATCATCCAGGGAGACGAAATGTATCGCAATCTCCCGCTTAACAGCCTAAAGGATGCTTGCACAAGTTTGGGTAGATGTAAAAAGAGAGAGGGGGAAAAACATGATATAATTGCAAAAAAAAAAAAAAAAAATACCCTGTATAAATATTTCCATCTCCGCCCCATTTTACACACGTCACTCCAGCTCTATGTCCGCTGAGACATATAACACATTTCCTCAGTACAACATCCCATATACGTGCATCGCCATCTTCACCAACACTTACAAAATGTCGACACGGAGCATTTAGATGGACTGGTTCCCAAGAGATACTACTAATCCAACCCTTATGGGCCTAAGACAATATAGATAAACAATAAAAATAAGCCTTAACATTGTATATCATTAAACGGTACCATCATTAGCAGAAAACAGATTCCTCAATTGTGTGGTAGGCGAATGTTATCAACATAGAAACACTAAGGGCATGTTTGTTTCATATACTCAAACTCAAATCATTGATGCTGCTACAGTGTTTTCCTCTCACAAAAAATTTGAATTTCAAACGTCAGAATCAAGAATCATGGTTTGAGTATACCTTCCAAACGGGCCCTAAAGTTGGTTTGTTAAGAAACTTCATTCAGTTAGTATTAGAGTCCTCCACTGTGTGGTAGGCGAATGTTATCAACATAGAAACACTAAGGGCCCGTTTGGAAGGTATACTCAAACCATGATTCTTGATTCTAACGTTTGAAATTCAATTTTTTTTGTGAGATGATAACATTGTAGCAGAATAAATGATTTAAGTTTGAGTATATGAAACAAACGGGTCCTAAAGTTGGTTTGTTTAGCAACTTCATTCAGTCAGTAATAGAGTCGTATATCTGAATAGAACCAAAAATATAGTCTACCAACTATTACAAGTCGAGAGTTTACCGCAAGTGGTCTCCCTAATTGCTTCCCTGTTTGAGGATCCCAACTGAAAATTTCTCCAGCCTTTCCCCCACTTACAAGATGTTTACCATCAGGTGACCATGCAACACAAATAACTGAATCCTTGTGTCCTAAATGAAAAGACTAAAATTTATGAATTTCTGATCACAATGAGTTACTATTCACCATTAAATATAAACAATAGATAAATGACAAGAATGAAAAAATACACAACTCCCTTCCTATTCCAGATGCAGCAAAAAAAAAAAAAAAAAAAGAGAACATGTCTGCACTCGCTCATAAGTTCACAATTAAAAAATCAACCTACACTATACTTCAATATGCAAAAAATTGGTTTTGGTTTACCAAATTTATTGGGTTTCTCATTTGGTTTTTTGGCGCATGCAGTGTAACATCTAAGTTATCCAAACATTCAAATAGACTCCAAATATTAAATGGCCCGCAGATTTCAAACCTCTACATATGTGTAATGGTGTCTGTGTATTGAGATCCCATAGTCGAACAGTAGCATCTCCTGATCCGCTGGCCAATTGTCGACCATCAGGACTAAAGGAAACCGATATTATTTTGTTTCTATGACCTACAAAGACAAATCAAGGGAAAAGTCTAACGAGAATCAACTAACATACGACATCGCAAGGTCAATTAGAAGGTACTGCATTAATACACAATTCGCTGTAAAAATAAAATTATCAATTCACTTGCACCTAATCAACACAAATCCAACCTCAATACAAACCAATTCAACTCAATTAAAATATATCCCAGAATTGACAAAGTTCAATTACTAAGAAACAATCGACAAACTTAATTCCTACATTTTCTATGTTTAAAAAAAAAATTTGGAAGGAAATGCAGAACTCAAGATGGAAAGACATATTTGATGGCTGATTGTATTCAAACATGTTAACATGCCATGCATTTAATTTCCTACAATGAAAAAACGTCAATCAGAGAGATTTCACTTTTCTTTCCGTCAATGCAATTTATATGTATTTGTTATACAACAAAATCTTCTAATGAACTAAAAGCGATAAAGATGTAAAATAGAATAACATATTGCCACTTCATCTATAACAATAGTCATATTAATATATATATATATAATCATACAGATTTCACTTTTCTTTCCGTCAATGCAATTTATATGTATTTGTTATACAACAAAATCTTCTAATGAACTAAAAGCGATAAAGATGTAAAATAGAATAACATATTGCCACTTCATCTATAACAATAGTCATATTAATATATATAT